ATGTGGGATCTGAACCGGGGCCCTCTGGCGTCCCAAGCCAGCTCTTAAACAACTCGCCACTCGGCCAGCCCCCCACACCTCAGTTTTTAAACAAAACCCCAAAGTATCATTTTCCGGTCCTTTGCCTCCTGTACACTGTAGTATCTGTGCCCTTTTAACCTCCCCACTCCCCATCCCAGACGAGGGCAAGGTGCAAAGTGAATCTCCGGGGCATCCGTAGAGGACATGCACACGGGTGAAATTTTCTGGGTTGAGTCTAGAACCTGAGGTGATATTGCTAGAGGTTTCTGGTGGTGGCTTTGGAAACTTCAGGTGACGAGACACCTTGCAGGGCGTCCACTGTGCCCATAAGGCCTTCTGCCTCAGGACTGAGTGAGCTGGCTGTCTCAGGGCCTTGCTGGGAGGCTGCGGTGGAGTCAAATTTATCTTCTTTTAGGTCAGGAGCTAATGGGCAGTGGTGCCATCTCTAATAAGAAACAAGCCCTGCCCTCTGAAGTGACCCAGCTGACGAGCAGCAGAGCTCATTTGTTCTGGCACTCAACAGAGTGTGTGGGCAGCAGCTGAGCCTCGGCACTTACCGGCAAATGCTATTTTCAAAACCACAAAAGTCACCTCTGGACTTGCACTTGGGTATTAAGGTTGGCATCTGATCTGACCACCATAGCACTTCCCACGAGTGAACACACTCATAGTTCTCTCATTTGCCTAGAAGTTGTGACAGTTCTTGTGACAGGGGAGGACCTCCCATCTCCATTCTGCGGCTCCAGCAATTTATTGAGACTAAGTGTTCTGAAAAACCTGGGGTGGAATACGGCTCCCTGTGTTTCTAAAATCCAGAAGCTTGGATAAGTCTCATTATGGTTCTCTGACAACTCCGATTAAATCTTGTTTCAAATAATTATGAGGAACACTTCAAAGTCTTTATTATAGAATTTGTTTATATTGAGCACTGCCTGACATAAGTGGGCTAATCGCGAATACTTAAAATCTAGTTATTTAGGGATTCTTTCTCCTCTCCTTAGCATTAGTTGGGGAAATAGGGCTTTATAAATTCTCCTTAAAACACAAATTTTAGAAATTGTATGGGAACTCTTCTTTGAATATTTGCCACGGAATCACTAGGTTTTGGACACTTTTTGATCGTGCAAATTAACTGGATCATAGTCAGTTAATAAATTCTGGATGCCCACAAGGACCATTCTACAACAAATCTAACTTAATGTGGCTACTATAAAGCTTCAAAAACATTTTTTTAATAGAGGGCACCTTTTAATCAACAGAAGGTCTCTAGTCACTTTAAATTCGGTGAAGACATTTAATGGTGGTGCTATTTATAGCCTGTCTGTGAATAGAAAATTATCTACTTAAAACTGAAAAGGTTTGGTTTTAGATAAAGTGCATGAAAACTATGGCGATATCCTTGGAGTACCCAGTTCAAATCTCAGCAGACTGTACTCAGTATTTAATCAGTCTAAGGTATCAAGCTGCTGTAGGACAGTTTCTCTACAATCGATAAGTGAGAACATCTAATCTGCTTCAGGATATCCTTGCTCCTCACCGTTTTTCCCCTAAAAGAGTAGTTGTCTGGCTTTTATTATGAGTAAAACTTTCACTCTTTCTAGTGAATTCATAAACTTCCTATAGATGAGCCCAAGTGTACGACATACAAAGGACTGAGGACCTGGGAATGGCCAGCAAGAGTCCTGTCACCTGACTCTAGAGTGGTGCCACTAGCATTGACACTTTCAAATGTCCTCACTATTCACCGTGTTTAGTGTGACTAATTTATCTTCTTGCAAGTCTATGAACAGTTACGCCATAAATTACACGCTAACATTAGAGTTCCTAAACGTCACAAGAGGTCTTTTATTAATCACTGTATCCTTACCTCTAACAGTAGCTAATATTAAGTAGGTTTTTAATTCTTTTTACAAATGTTTGCTGAATTAAAAAGATTGCAGTTCCAACAACAATACCACACAAAAAAAAGCCCACTTGATTTCTTCATGTGTTCAGAAAAAAGGGGCTAGAGATGCTGCTAACACATTGATTAGCTTTAAAGACAAAGATCACAGCAGGACAAAGCCATCTGGCAGGCTGGCACAGACCATGACTTTGGCTATGAACCCAAACCAGGAGGTAATGTGGGGAAGATAACGGATAGCTGTTTCAATCTAATTACAAAGTGCTTCTCAACTAACGAGATTTTAGATTAGTTTTGAGTATCGTTATAGCTCTTACTTTGCATTTGTATGGTACAGCAAGTAGCCCTGAAATTGTAGCTTTACTTATTTATTTAGCAAGGCAAGTTGAAGCACGGAACTTGCCATATAATGTAGAAATGTACAAATCTTGCTGAAGGTCTTGCTGTGAAAGAGATGACTCATGTGACTAACCTGAAGCCCTTATTTCATTATTGAAACTTCGGAAATTTTGTCCCCAAAATGCCTTAATTTTTTTTTTCTTTTTTCTCTCAGATAGTCACGGGCGTATTGATCCCTCTCTGAGACCCATCTGGGATTTAGCTTTTCTTGGCAGCTCTTACGTGATGTGGGAAAAGACCACGCAGTTCTTGCACTACTACATGGCGCAGCTCAGCAGCCTGCAACAGTGGGTAAGAGCCCTGAAAATGAACTTGTACCACAAAAGATACAACCAAGGCAGGATTCTGAGACTCAGTTAATGTGACCTGCTAATCTCACGGCAACAGTTTTAATTGCATTTCATTCATTCAATAAATATTTGAATGCCTGCAGTGGGCCAGGCATTCTATAGGGACTGAGGACATAGCAGCGAACACAAAACATGACGTAGCTGTCCTCATGGAGATTCATTCTAGTGAGAGAAGAAAGATAGTGAACTAATAAGTAAGTATGTATCGAATGGTGGTAAGTGCTATGGAGAAAAACTAAGTAGGGGACAGGAAATGCAGGGTATTTTCAGAATTACTACTTACAGTCTAAATAAGGCCCCTCTCATTTGAGCAGAGATGACACTGGAGCAGAGGCCTACAGGAAGTGAGAGGGAGCCATGCTTCCACGAGGGAAGAGAATTTCAAGCAGAAGGAACTGAAGCAGCGCAGTAGCTGATGGGTTGGAGAAATAGCGGTGAGGCTAGTGTGGCTGGAACAGTGACAAGAGGACTGTGCCAGGAGGTGAGATCAAATGGAGGGGACCAGTTCCTGTAAGGCCTGAGGCCATTTGAAGGACCTCTCTTTTACCCATTTGAGGGTTTGGGGGCAGAGGAGTGACATGATCTGACTTACAATAGGATCACTCTGGCTGCTTTGTTGAGAATGGACTATAGAGATAAGGGTGGAAGCAGGAAGACCAGTAAAGTATTGCAATAATCTAGACAAAGCCTGGAGGTGGCTTGGACCCCGTGGTGGCAGCGGAAGTGATAACTGTTTGGATTCAGGATGTATTCTGAAGATAGACCGATAGCATTAGCTGATGGGTTGGATATGGACAACAGAGAATGAGAAAAGTCAAGGACAATTCATAGGATTTTGGCTGGAGTAACTGCTAAGGGAGATTTCGTCTACTGATTGGAGAAGGCTATAGGAAAAAGAGATTTGGGGGAAATTAGCTTGATTTGGGACATACTGAATTCCATAACCAAATAGAGAATTTATATAATCTTCTGGACCTGAGTCTCAAGTTCAGAGGAGAGTTCTGGGCTGGTGTCATCACCATGTAGGTGGTGTTTAAAGCCACAAGACTGGATGAGATCACAGAGAATGAGCGAGCAGTCCTGGAACATTTCCAACGTCAGAGGCTGGCGGGATGAGAAGAGTGTTTCAAGGATGAGGCTGCACGGACTGTGGCAAATGCTGCTGGGAAGTCAGGGAGATGAGGACTGAGAACCAACCGGCCGTTTGGTTTGGGCAGTTGGGGGTCAATGGAGAGCTTATTAAGGGCTATCTCTCCAGCACGATGTGGGCAAAGCCTGACTGGAGTAGGTCCAGGAGAGACTGGGAGGGGACGAAGTGGACCCTCCATCTCTTTAAAAAAAAATGGCTATAAAGGGGAGTAGAAGAAAGGGAGCAGGCGATAGCTGGAGGATGGTGGGTAAGCCATCGGGTTGAAAGGTTTTGTTTTCTGTGGTATTTTTAGGTTGGGACATCTAACAGCATATTTCTATGAAGATGAGAAAAATCCAGTAGAAAGGGGCAGAGTAGGACTTGTAGGAACGAGAAGGAAGAATTGCTGGAGTTAGTGTCTTCAAGTAGGCAAGAGAGGGTAAGCTCAATCCAGATGACCTTACACAGATTTTCAAATTCTGCTATTCGGTGGCCACTCAAGATTACCATGATCTTTAAGCAGAAGCAACACAGCAAGAAGCAAAACAATCAACAATTTTTAAAAGGTCACTAAAATCAAGGTAGTGTCCTGGAAGGCTAGAAGCAGGACGGTAGGGCTGACAAAGCCAGAGTGCCCAGCTCGGAAGCCGGAAGTGACTGGAGCTGCGCTGTGGCCCAAGGTAGCTCAGGAAAGCACAGGGCTCATAGTTTTTCCAAATGCTTTCTGGGTGTGTGTTCCTATCTTTACACTCAGGGTTAAACTCGCCTTTTAATGCAACTATGTCAGGAAGTGCAGGCTTGTAAACTCAGCCCCACATGAACACAGCTTGAGAGGAGACTGGGCTATGGAAGAAAGCACTGAATACAACTATAAAATAAGACCCATCTTACTGGCACAATTATGGCTTTTGAACCAAAAAACAGATGTCATTCCCAAGCCATAAGGGCCATGCCAAGGGCAGGGGAGATATGTGCTGGCTAGAGAAGATGAGATGGTTACGGACTTTCCCTCCACCCTCAGACTTTCACCTGAATTGAGAAAAGTCACACTGAGTGTTGTTCCAACTCTTATCAGTCAATACCAGATAGTATCAGCACCCCAGCTATCTAACCTGGAGCACATCGTTATCAATCAGCACAAGTCCTACCCTAACTAGAGGCCCCCACTGGCCAAGGGTACATGATAGAGACCATCCTATCTACCTTATTTATTCGGCGAAATCCACTTTGGATAGCATGTATCAATAACCTAAGCTTACTTATTCTCTACTAAAACCACACAGATTCTGCTAGGGGGCATTCTCTCTCTTTTTGGGGGGAGGAGTATAGGGGTGGGGGAGGGGTGGGAAACAAGTAAGTATGAAAGGGGACAAACAAAACACTTCCAGTCTGTCTCTAGGGAGATTAAAGTGCTGAGTTACCAGAAAACGTAACAGTGATTTGTCATCAATTTGGACTATAAGGATTTGGCATTTGTGATGATTTGAATAGAAGCCAAGGAGATTATTTCTGAATAATATTAAAAATAATGACTTCTTGGCAGAGCTCGACTTGGCGAGGGCACTCCAACCCTGGAGTACCTTGTCAGGCTGGGATGTGCAATGTCCCCTCTGCAGTTCTTTAATAAGCCCGGCTTTTTCATTGGGTTTAAGGGTGCTTCCTCCTGGAGGAGAAAGAATCCATAAAAACAGAAACATGAAGGTCTGTTTCAATCACTTTACTGAAGGTCTTCATTAAATGGTACAGGGTTTCCAAGCACTGTAATAATCCAAATGTTTGTATTAAAAAATGGGTAACACTGTGTATTTAGAACAGTTTGTCAAATGGAATTGGAATCCCATCATTTGCTTCAAGCCTTGCCTCTTTTTTGCCTCAGATCTGGAGACTGCCATGATCTCCTTCAGAAATGCTACTTTTGAAAGCAGAATAAGAAGGCATTGACCTGAAAAAGCACTTTAAAAGTAAAACCAATTTTTAATTTATAACAATACACGGTTAATAGTCAGGCCTTTAGAAATAGTGCAGAGAGCATAGACGTCTGAGACAAAAATCACACAACGCAGCCGCCTGCTGGTGTGAGCCATCCTGAGAGAACCATTTCCTTCCAAGGTCAAGACAGTCACCAAATGAGGGTCAAGGAGGCTAAAAATGCCCCCAAACCAGCAATGGCTGACTGAGCATTGGGGCCTCCGGTAATTGTTCCTTTATGAAAGAGACACTGAACTTCCTCTCATGAATTCTATGACTTGGCAGCCTGTGCCTCAGATGTTTGCTTTGAACATTCACATGTACACTGCCAGGCAGGACGGAAACCTACCCAATGATGCAGACACCATAGGAAAGTGGTCACCCTCTCCTGCATCTTCTCCCTCTATCACCCTCCCCAGCTGCTGGGAATTTCATGGCTTGTAACAATCTCCATCAGTGGGAGCAAACGGAAGACAAAACTTAATATCGAGTCCTTAGGTTTGTCTTTGCTTTTTAAAATTCTTTGATTGTCTCAATAAAAACTGGTAGAGTAAAATAAAAATCCAAGTTGAGTGTTTTTTTGTTTTGTTTTTCTCTCCCATTTTTATTACACTAGAGAGGGATAAACACCCTTACCCACCAAGCCACCCCCTTCCCCCCCACAAAAACCAAAAACAAGCAAACAAAACCTAGGAAGCTTTGAAAACAAAATAGGAAACTGGGTAAAACTTAGAGAATTCACGTGAATGAGCGGTTAAGGAAGACTGCTGGCATCGCTGTAAATATCTAGGCACTGGTGTTAGAGGCAGCCTGGGAAGGAAGGAAGAATGGGGGTGGTGCAGTCGGTAGATCTGGGCTTGATGCCCCGCTGGTCACTTACTAGCTGTATATGCAAGTTACCTCCCCTGGAGAACCAGGCTCATAGGACACACTCTCGCAAGGCAGTCAGGAGAATTACATGAAGACCTGTACAAAGTGCCTAGCACAGAACCTGACCCACAGTGGCATTCTACAAGTACTGGTTGCCCTGCCCCTTGTCTTACTTCCTGGCATACCAGGGCTACCATCTTAACTTGAGGTGCGTATCAGTATCAAGATTCCTAAGGCTGTCAAAAGGTTCTCCCTACCACCACCGAGCTTAGCCTCCATCAAAAACCGTAAATATTAGAGAGAAAAAGTGATAGACATTCAAGTAGATTTTCATGTAACTCAGTGATAAAACAACAATAAGAACCTATGACTTCCGTATCTTGATGCAGGATACTACCAAAGGGAAATGAGGCTAAAATCAAAGAGGCCGCAGGAGATTCAAGGCATCCATCCAACACAAGAATTTACAGTATGAGATAAGCCTTCCAAATTCTGAGCTAATATAAACCTACCCTATTTATTACACTCACTCTTTTTTTCTTCCTCTAGAAAACAAATGACGACGCAATTGATTTTGGTTATACTGTTCTACTCCATGAATTCCCAACACAGGTAAAACAGAAACTTATATATAGAATCGTTGTCACCAGAAGTGTTTGCAAATCATAATGTTTTTGAACTCTTGTTTCCTAGGAAATCATTCCCTGTCGCATTCACTTGGTCTGGTACCCTGGCAAGCCACTTAAAGTGAAGTACCACTGTCAGGAGCTGGAGACCCCAGAAGAAGCCTCTGGAATTGAAGAAGGATCAGCTGTGGCACCGACAGAGCTTAGTAACTTCTGAACAGAAAAAACAACAACCCCTGCTTATCCCAAATTCTAAACAAAATGATGATACTAAGTAGCCTAAATCAGTATTCTAATAAAATAGCTAAGGTTTAAGGCATTCTAATAATTCGAGAAAGCCTATGATAATCAAAAATTAAAAGATGTCAAGGTTTTTAAAAGATAATATATTTCAATGAAAGCAAATTGTGGGAAAAATATTATCTGTTTAAAAGAAATTTTACTATTTTTTATGATTTCAAGCAAGTATTGTTTTTTTAACTTGATAGTTACTTTTAAATAAATGTTTACATTTCTAAATAAAATGTTTAAATGTGCTTGTAGAGATTTATCTATGTAGGCGAAGTTTGTGCTAACCTGGAATTAAATGAACTCTTAATATTGCTTCATTCATATTTTACAAATAAAAATATAGAGTGTCTCACAGATAAAACTGAGTGTCTTCAAACATGTACTAAGTGGAACAGTGATATAACTGAAAGTAAGTCTAACAAGTGTTTACAATTTTCATTTATAAGGACAGCTTAGACCCAGACTTGGCCTCAGTAATCTATAAAAGCAAACACAATATGTAGTATAATCAGATTCAGTGGAGTACCTCCCCAAGGCAGGAAGAATTGATCCGGGAAATGTGGCCATCATTTGCCTCTCAAAATTAGTATCGTTTAATGGAATGCTTATCTCCATGTCTAAAAACCTTTAGCTAGGCTCCTCAGCCAATAATTGTTTAGGAAGCATCAGCCTAAGAATACACCAAAATATTACTTTTAAGTCTGCACTGTTAGAAAATTGGAAAAGTTTACACTAAAGAGAAAAAATTTAAAGATGTAAATTCTTACAAAATAAAAATAAGATGGATGATACTGTTACGTTTTAGATCTAGTTTATATATTTTTCTATTAAAACCCTAACCCTTTGCATTCATCTTTACAACATTCACTTGATTTAAAGAACTGTAAGGATTCTGAAGCACTGAAAACAATCATTTAAAGAAAACATCACGTCTCCCACCTATGTGATAATTCAGAGAAAATACTTTTTCTAAAAGATCAATCTACAATGATTAAATCATGCCAAAACCAAATGATAAACTCCTAACTGAAGTTCCCTCAAGAATCTTCCAAAAAGGTGCCAAGAGCATTATAATAACATATTCAATGTCCTGTGATCTTTAATCATCCTTTTAGTGTCACATTAAGGGCTAGAAAGGGGTTTCAGCTGGGGAGAGTCTTTATCCTCATAGAGGCATTTTTAATTAGTGAGCTTAGACTCACAGATAGAGGACTCTAAGGTAAACTTTTAACAGATTTATTTCAGTATAATAGTTTATGAAGGGAAATTCAACACAGACAACATACACACACAACTACCTAGTTGATGAATGTACAAAACCCACAAAAGTTAAACCAACTTAAAATTTCTCAATAATATCACCGTTAAAACATCTTTTCTAGCACAAACTCTAAAATTGCTGATTTGATTTTACTACTACTGATTTTGCTAGCTAACAGTAGAGAAAAATTACTTCATGTGCCTTGACATAAAGTGAGAAACTCTAAATTCCCTACACCCTCTTTTCATTAAGAGTGTATTCTTCTGAATCACTCTGAGCCAAGAAGTTACATACAGCATCACTCCTAGTCTCTTATTTTTATTTTTTTTAGCTGAGCCATCCTGCCACCTGTTGGCAGCTCAGTGGCAGCTCAGCTTGGGCCGGACTCGAACCGCTGTTGCTAAGAGCTCGAACCCTTGAGCGAGCTCTTAACCAACTGAGCCACTCGGCCGGCCCTACTCCTAGTCTCTTTAGAGCTTTCAGAATTGTAAGACATACGAAATAGTACCAGGATTTTGTCTACATTCCTTTTGATTCTACTCATAGTTTCATTTTTCCTACCTGAATTATGAATTGTTAGAAGTTAAATTCTTTTGAAAGTCATTTGGAAGTTTCTATATTTGCCCTTGAATGATAGTTCTTCATAACATATGAGTTTATTACATCAATTTTTCTTGGAACCTGTTCCATGATTTTTCCTAGCTTTCAAAGTGCTACAATCACCTAACAGGCTGCGTGGCACTTATTTGAATGGATAAATGAATGAAAGCGCACAATAAATTGCCTTGAATACAATTAACTACTTCAATGATGCACTCCAGTGTTATTTATTTGAAGTCACTTTAAGCAGCAATTAAAGCTCTAATTCAATCATTTATAGTTATTTAGCAACGCAAACAGCTGTCTTCTACAAAGGGATGTATTCCTACATGTCATAATTTACTACTACCTGGTGGCTACCTAGTTTTATTGCCATCAATTTTAAGACTCATCCAGATTTCAAAAAGATTAAAATATGAAAAAATCCTAAAGCTTCAGAATTGATTACATGTTAGTGATTTTACAATTAATCTGAGAGTGAGCAAGGAGGAAAGGAATAACAGAAAATTGACTGTATGCCTTTCAAAGGTAGTTAACCAAACTAAGAGCCACTAGCCCAAACTCGAACACCACACAAAGGAATATTAATAATAGCACACACCTGAATAAACCTAGTTCATGTGTTGGAGGTGCAGGCAATACTGCTGTGGGCTTAAACTTTACCTGTATATTATAATCACATGAACAACTTTTTTTTTATTATTATTATTTTTTTTTTAGTTGAGCCATCCTGCTACCTATTGGCAGCTCAGCGGCTGCTCAGCTCGGGCTGGACTCGAACCGCTGTTGCTCAGAGCTCAAACTCTTGAGCGAGCTCTTAACCAACTGAGCCACTCGGCCGGCCCTTCACATGAACAACTTTTGATCTTGATCCAGAGAATCAGAATATCTAGAGGCTGGCCTGGGTGTTTCTTTTTAAAGCTTGCCAGGTGATTAATTTTACAGTGTGGCCAGGGCTGGGAATCAGGGCAATACCGCCTCGGGCTGCTGCCGTTCTCCAACACAGGTAATATTGTCTTTCTTTAAATTAGCCAACAATTATCCTTCATAATAGTAGTACAAAAAAATCCTCATTTATGAATATTCTCATTAATTTCTTTCTCATTACAGATTTCAGTGGTATATGTTCTTTACCTACTATAACCAAACTAATGAGTAGCAAGAGGTGTGAGTTCTGGTTCTGGGTCTGTCCCTATGTTATCCTGTTCTAGTTACTCCCACCATCTGGGCCTGTGTCATTAAAATGTCGGGGTTGGATCAGACATCTAGGCACTTTTCTGACATTATATCCATATAACCAGAAGGTTTAACAAGGTAAAGCATCAAAATTTATTCATCTTACGTCTAATATTTCTGGCAATAGACAGAAGTGTACTAAATTCTAAATTATATTTCCTCATCAGGAACAATATTCTAAATCATTGCTAATAGCATGAGATGCTGATGAAATGCCAAAGCAACAATTTTTTAGGCTTGATGCTACTGTAGCAACAGAAATATTCCTGGGGAATATGCACTTGGGATGATGAATAATCGTTAACTAAATTATCAACTGAAAACTGAATGTGTTATGTGGTCTTGGTCAAGAAGTTCTTCACCTTCTCTGTGCTTTTGCTTTCTCTATTACATAATAGTACCCGCTATCTTAGGGTAGTGAAAACTAAATTAGATTGTGCATTTAAAGCACTTAGCAAATGCCTTGATAACGTACTCAATACTTTAAAAAACCCTTTTTTTTTCTGGAGACCTTGAATTATAAAGCCAAATCTATAAATCATGAAAAGCAAAGGAATTTAAAACAGTTATTTTGTTTCTGTTATTCATTAAAGGAAAGCATTAGGGTATCACATCAGGTGACTTTTGAATGAAGCAACGCTGAACAATATGGTAGAACTTCTGAGAAGTCCAGCTTATTCTAAAAAAAAAAAAAGCGTAACATTTGTTCACAATCTCAATGAATACAATATATAAATTCCAACAGACTCAAATTCAACCAGCATCTGGTGGTTGAATGAAATTGACTAGGCAGGAAATCTAAAAATTATGTTTTATTATTTACAGCTTCAGAAACATTAGGATGAACATAGACAAGAATAGCATATGCAAGGGTCTGTTTTTCAACTCACAGGTCCACAAGAAAGTAACATTTAAACTCCTAAAAACAGGCAGCTACAAATTTGCAGAACTCACAAACTGAAGCAATCAGCTCTATATAAAACAGCTAGACATTTAGCTGGTATTTTAATATTCCAAAGAAGAATCTGAAAAACGTTCTCTATTAAGATCATATGGAATTTATGCTTAAACAAAAAAGCCTACCTATCAAAAGGTTACACTCCAGAGATCCAAGATGGCGAAGTAGATAAACTGTGTCTGTGTCCTTCCATGAACACATTAAATTACAACTAATAGAACAATCAATCTGGAGAACCATCTGAAGTCTATCCAAAAAGAAGTCCCATGACTAAAAATACAAAGAAGCCACACAGAGACTGGTAGGAGGGACGGAGACACCTAACTGGAGCCCAAACCTCCATGTGGCGGAGAATCAGGATGGATATCTTGGGCACTGAGGATCCCCCCTACACCCCGTCCCAGGAACAAAGGACTCAGGCCCCCCACACTAGGCTCCCCACCCCGGGGTACTAGTGCTGGGAAGAGGAGCCCCCACAACCTCTGACTGAAAAACCATGGGGATTCTAATCACCTGGGTGGGACAGAAGGCTTTGGGAAACCCAGACATCCTCTTAAACGGCCCGCGCACAGACTCCCTCGCTCGCAGACACTCACCTTGGACTCCAGGGGAGGGACATGACTCAGGAGACAGGGGGGATGGCAGGAGTGGGCACAGATTGAGGTGTGTGGCTTTGAGGGGATGACTGGAGGACAGTCAACATTTTTTCTATGTGAAGTCTTCTTTCTATGCAGCCAGCAGGTGGGCGCCATCTTTCCTGTGTTGAGCCCGCCCCCTAAACTTACGCACTGGGATCTCACCCCTCCCAACTCCCCCAATGCCAGCAGCCATCCCCGCCCATACTGCCCTTTTTCTTGGAAAACTATCAGAAACTGGCAAGACCTTGGCGGGCAGCGACTGGCCTCTGTGTGCTCTGAGACTTGTGCTGAGTAGCGCCAGGCTCAGTACTGGCACTAAGCCAGAATCTACATTAACCTGGTAACCACAACTCTTCCCACTCTAGTGATACTCCTTGAGACCCTGCCTCACCCAACTCGCATACTGCATGAGGCTCTATCAGTGGCTGATCCTTATGGGAGCTGGCAGGTGGCAGCAGGCCTCAGGGTGTCCTCGCTTTTTGCGGCGCTACCCCAGGCCTGGTACTGGTGGCAGATGTTCTTGGTTTGCAGTGTGGCTTCTCCCACATGCCTCCAGGTTTAGCATAGGCAGCGAGCAACTGCAGATTGCTCTGTAGCTCCTACCATGAAGGTCCCAAACAATTGCAGGCAGTGGGTGACCTGGGCCTACAATGGAGTCCCTCCCAAGA